GGAGTATGGGGTGCCGCGCCTCGGGAGTGTTTTCAATGGGGTTTCCCTCCGCGATCCAGGCTTCAGCCCCTGGCCCGCTGTGGTCCGCGAGGTCGCGGATAAAAACCAGTGCACCCCAACAAATAACGGGGGGCACCATAGTCAGATTGGGGTAGCGATAAAGCCAAATTGACTGAACCGATTTCCCACACCAACTTTTTGCGATTTTTGCGATCAAGCCTCTAGCAACGTCTTATCCGTGGCGTGGACAGTTAAATTAAAAGAACCACAATGAGGACGATTTTTTCACGTAATAATTTCGAAAAATAATTATTACGAAGCACACTTTTCCCAACAAACGAATTTAAAAAATTTAAAATAATAACGAAAATTCACATCTATCGTTAGCCTGATGTTTGAAACTCGGGTTTTCGAATACAGGTTTTTTTTGCCGATATGATGTTCAAAAAGTCGCATTTCGAAAAGGATTTTTGTAATAATGATGATCCTCCAATAATCAGTCCCTTGCATTAATGGTCATATCGTGCTTTTGCCTAAATCGGAAAATGTGGAGAGAACTTGAAAACCTAGAAAATTCATTAAATGTAATATGTTTTTATGGAGCTCTTATGTTACGATATGTAACATTACGTAATTGGACTTCGTTGTTGCGATGCTAAACCATGGCATTTTTCGGATTCAACTGGTTCTCATAAATCTTTATTTACATGTCGCCGAGCCTCCAAAATCAGCACATTTCCAAAAAGCGGAAACCTCTTCATGGTCACTGTTTCGTTAATATTTTTCCACCACTCCAGTGTCAGGTGACAATCTGCCATTCAAGTTGGTTAACGATTGAGAACTCCGACGACTTTCCGCCTCCTCGGTGATGTTGAGTGATAATGCTGAAAATCACAACATCGTAAGCGGGGCTACGCCAAGCTACTATTCTGTATATAATGTACTATACTAAATACCATGATACTGAACATATAAAGTATCGTATTACCGCATTAATTATTAGATTTTTTTTATGTTTCTAAAATCGTATTTCTGACCTGGCTTTATATTCGACTTTTTCACATTCATCATCTTAATCCCCGTCTGCACCGATGGATACACTTTGTGCTGATTGTTCATGTTTTGGCGTTCGGTAAAATAGCTAAATGTCTATTTTTGTAATTCGTTACCGATCATACCTTTTTAATAAATATCCTTCCACAAAAAAGGCGGCTAGGTGCAAAACTAACAGCAGAAGCAGCATCGGCTTGCGGTCTGCAAGCTCCAGAATTCAGTATCGAAACACCGTGCTTACTTTTTAGCCAGCCAAGTGTTCCAAATGATCCGACATCGCGGAATAGCATTAGTATCATAGTGGAAAATGCAAAAGACGTTTTGAGAAGCTAAAATTTGCATATTTTATTACCGAAAAACTTTTACCAAAAAGGCATAAGCACCATATTCTTGCCATTTAGCCTTCGAGAGCATAGAAAAGATCACCATTTCGATGTAGAAAAAGTGGAGTTCTAAATGGATTTAAATTTTAAATTTTATTTATATTTAAATTTGTATTATAGTTTTGTCATATATTTGTTGTATTGTTTTATTAAACGTACGTTAGTATTCTAAAAACCTTGAGTTTTTACTGCAGGTTTCCTATGAATTGTCACCTGTAATTTAATTCTAGTTTAATTTTTGGGTTACAGTTGGTATTCTTGGGTCAACCAAACGTAATATGTCATTACCTATGAACGCAAAAGCCGAGTTCAGCAAGAAAAAGTCCATCTGCCGATGTTCTGCATGCGCTTGCCCGATTATCGAGATAAAAATAAAGTCCAGAAATACATTGGCGGCTTGCGTTGCGATAAAAATCATCTAAACCAATTTACCAATTAAGATATGGCAAGGATTACTTTATGTCCAGCACCGCAAATCGACGAGTCGTGAGGTTCCACCATCACTGCCATACTTTGATGTCCTAAAAGCTATCGAAATCGGCTTCAAAATGAAAACATGAAAACACGTGGAGCTGTATACGCTTTCCGAAAGAGTCAATCGCAGAAAACAGACCTCAAACACCTCAAAGACGAAAAGCCTTAGGATTAATCCGGAGCCCGAGGCTCGGGCCGGAAACGGCGTAATGGGCAGCCGACAAGAGGCGTTGAGAAATTTGAATAATGTTGAAAACCCTTGACGTACGTCAGCTTTGTGAAAATTAACTTACCTTGCTCAGTTGAGAAAGAGATAGAGAGCGCGAGAGAGAGCGAGAGAGAGCGAGAGAGAGGGAGAGAGAGAGAGAGAAAGAGAGAGAGAGAGAGAGAGAGAGAGAGAGAGTTAGAGAGAGTGAGAGAGATAAGAGAGGGGAGAGAGAGAGAGAGAGAGAGAGAGAGAGAGAGAGAGAGAGAGAGAGAGAGAGAGAGAGAGAGAGAGAGAGAGAGAGAGAGAGAGAGAGAGAGAGAGAGAGAGAGAGAGAGAGAGAGAGAGAGAGAGAGAGAGAGAGAGAGAGAGAGAGAGAGAGAGAGAGAGAGAGAGTACGATTAAACTTTTTTGAAGCCAGAAGCTTGGAAACTGGAAATGCAAATTCATGAACTTACGAAAAAATCCTCAAAAAAGGAAGTTTCGCCCGGTTTAGATGCCACATGCGTTATACAAGAATTTTTGCGTACACGGACGTACTAGCAGCAATTCTTGGAAACCTTTGATTTCATGAAACATAAAGAAACCACGATTTTCAGCTCTTGGTAGGTTAAGAACTTCCTTATTTTTGATGATACACAGCCTAAAAAAAATTCATTTTATAGCGCACAAAAAAGTTCATCGCAACGGGAAGTAACGCCCCATGTAAATGCGACATGTGGTCGCCGTAAAAGTACTACACGCCGGCCCGGTGGACGAGGAGACGAACTTCCGGCTGGAGTGACGATTCGAAGGCCCGGATTTTCTATAAAAAACTGGTGCAAAACCCGGGTCTACGCCTGGCTTTTGGTGTGTGATGGGACGTCGAGTGTACTGCCGTGTCCTTGCAACTGCAACGTCTTCCGAATATCACGTTTTTGGGGAAGTTGAGCATGTTATTCGGAAAAGTGCTGTGGCGTTGAATGTGCTATATTGGAGGTAGGGGCATAGGATAAATAAAGGATTTGACGCAGATTCCGGGGGGAATAAAGTAAAAAATTAGGGAACTTAAACGCGAATTTCGCTAACAAACATGGTACTTTTGCATTATCGGGGGGCTAAGGAAGGTGGCGGCGATAAAGTTTTTCTTTAGTGCTTGATTTTTCTAATAAAATAGAGGCCGTGTAACTTGACAGTTTTTGCCATTCTTAGCCGCATTGGCTTTACAAATGAAATTCAAAAATACAACAATTCGATTTTTCGAAAATTCCGGATTTTTACTAAAAAGACTAAGCGGATACTTTTTACCTTACTAGGCATTGTTCGGACGCAAACGCAAATTAACATGTCAAAAAAAATTAATCGAAATTTGACATGGACCAAATTCATTTTGTCGATATTTCCTTTTGTCTTTATACTGAAATTTCAATACGCTGAAATCTCAATTATTTCAGATGACTAAATAATCGATGAAACTAAATTTCGACATCATGGTTTTCGGCAATGTCCGATATATTTTGGATCGTGTTTTGCACGTCTAAAGTTAAACTTCAAAATTTATCGAAAAACACACGCATAAAAATTGGCATAACGTGCGTCATGGCAGTGAATCGGCGGTCGTCACAGATAAGTCGAGTCGAAAAATTGAAAAATCATAGAAAAACGGTGGCGGATTGCTAGTGGACGACAAAATTCAAAGGTGTAACAAAAACAGGCGGACAAGTTACAAAAATTGGCTTGGCGTAATCATATTCGAAGTGCTGGTGAAGTGGGGGTTCTCGATTACCGTAACCTCGGATTCACGGGAATCTTGGTGCGGTAATTCGGGTGCCGATGGGACAGGGCGGACGGGTGGAAGGTGTACAGTCGCAGAAATGTTCTGATTCTCCTCGAGCTGAGCGGGTTCAGGTTGGCTTGCTACTTGACCTTGGACGGGCTGGACGGCCGAGACGGGCTTCTGAAAAAATTATGCTACGTTATTATTAACCATTTTGGTAGTTTGTATTTGTAGTAAGTTAGTCTTTTAAGGTGCAATTCGCTCTATAGAGTTTCAGATGTAAATTAATATTTTTTTTTAGCTGGACGTTTCGATAGTCTGATTTCCATTTAGGAAGCTGAGAGTACTAGTAAAACTCGGAAACGGTAAAAAATAGAATGGCTGTGGTTGTATTAAAGACAATAAAGCTATTCCTACTAGATTCGCCGTTTTCTAAGCTTTCGAATGATACCGCAACGAACCCAATCGGACGCCTCTAAGCTGAGTTATGAGTTAAGCTGTTTTCCGATTGCAAAGTAGCCTCGAGAATAACCAGTGCGGAGAGCGCGGAGCGCTGCGCGTGAAAGAGTAACGTCGAGGATTCGTCGGCTTGTCGAGAGAGCGGGCCAGAAATAGAGGCGCAGCGCGTGAAAGGAATGAGGTGGGACTGGGCCCCAGTTGGGGTAGGGGGCGTGGGAGAGGGGGAGAAGGAGCGCGGGTGGGGGGCGAGGGTCCAGAGAAGGGCCCCGAGGGCCCAGAGATTGGACTGACTCTAATCGAAAAATACGTTTGTAAAAGAAAGATAGGATTCTCAAAATTAGGTTTGAATCTGCAAAAATTTTGCACACAATAGGCTTGGTCACATTTCGAAACTCGGGGAAACTAAAAAAAAGTCTCCTTGTGAGCATTAAACAGAAAACCTGTTCCGTTTTTACCGTCGTTGCGCGCTTTATCCTACTTTTATCGATTTTAGCTTCGAAAGGACGACTTGGAATCCGCTATTCGGCTTTTGACGCAAATCCGAGTCCCCAACAACACTGAGAAAATTCTGGAAGCTTTTGAGCGTCGGAAGGACGCCTTCTAAAGGCTTTGTTGATTGAATTATTGATTTTGACGAGGCAGCAAAGATTTGCCCTTGCCAGAAAAATTCTGAAAATCCTGGAAACGTGCAAAGTTTCGTGCGGCTCATCAAGGGAAATACTAAAATTTAGACTTTCCTGGCTTAACAGCTTCGAAATAATGTTTTCCATAATGTTTGAATTGGCGCCATTCCTACCACATCGGAATGAGCATCAGAAATTGAGCGTCGGAATTTGAGCGCCAGAATCTAACCGTCGGGATCCTGCCTACGTTCCAAAAATTGCACTAGAGCTGTTGGAAGTCCGCAAAAAATGTTCGCAATAAAAAGGCGCCGAAACATTGCTGGAAACTCTAGTTTAGCAACAAACTACACCATTTTTGCACCAATAGGGCGGAGCGACCGGTTAGGACCAAAATTCTGGGCCCTATATCAGGGCGAGCCCCGAGGGCTCCTGCCAGTATTCCCGGCCCTACCGCCGCTCTCTTTTTCCTTTTTCCGTGTTTTGGGCCCTTTGGGCTTCTCCAAACTAGTGAGCATCCAAAAATTATTGATTTTTTTGTTTTTAGACTTGCAAAGTCAATTTTTAGTTTAGGTAAATTCGGGATGCCGTGTCTCATGGATGATGAAGAACCGGAAGTGGAAATGGAGGCACCAGACGATACCGCGAATGTATGTCTCGTTTAGAGAAAAACCTAGAAATATACGTCACGGGACTACGTCACTTACGACATTCGAAAATGCTGACTAGAGAATTGATGTTCTTTTCTTGTCTTTTCAAACAGTTTGGGGACAAAAAAATCGCAAAAAATTGGGTTTTTGTGTACATCGTAAACGATCCAAATGTTCCCTAAATTGAGTAGGTAATTAAGCAATTCATGAGTTTAAATTAAGCAAAACGATCAATATTTTAAGGGTCTAATGCTAGACTAGAGAGTTGATGTTGTTTTCTTAGCTTTTCAAACAGTTTTTCCGCTCAAAAATCGCAAAAAAGCGAGTTTTTAGGGTACCGACTCAAATGTCCCCTAAATTAACTAGGTACTTAGGTCATTCAGCGGTTTAAATCAAGCCAAAAAAATCGATATTTTAAGCGTCGAATACTAGACTAGAGAGCCGATGTTGTTTTTTGGTTTTTGAAACAGTTTTTAGGCTCAAAAATCGCAAAAAAAAATCGGATTTTTTAGTGTATGGCAAACAACACAAATCTGCGCTAAATTAATTGGGTAATGTAGGTAATTCAGCGGTTTGAACTAAGCCAAAAAGCGATATCTTAAGGGTCGATTCCAGACGTGGGAGTCGATGTTCTTTTCTTGTCTTTTAAAACAGTTTTTAGGCTCAAAAATCGCAAAAAACAACATAATTTTTGAGTGCATGGAAGACTGGGGAAATGCCCCTAAATTAAATAGGTAATTAGGTAATTAAGGCCTTTAAACTAAGCAAAAAAGTCAAGATTTTATGGGTCGAATGCTAGACTGGAGATTTTATGCTGCTTTCTTGGCCTTTCGGACGGTTTTTAGGCTAAAAATCGCAAAAGTAGCGCTTTTTTAGTGTGAGGTAAGCGACTCAAGTACCTAAATTAAGTGGGTAATTAGGTAACTTCGATTTTTTAATTAAACAAAAAAAGATTGATATTTTAAGGGTCGAATGCAAGACTTGGGCGTTGATACTCTTTACTTGTCTTTCGAATAGTTTTTTGGGCTCAAAGATCGCAAAAAAAATAGTTTTTTGGTGTATGGCAGACGACTCAAATGGCGCCTAAAATATGTCGATAATTATCATCAGATATCAGGGGACTAAACTAAGCCAAAAAATCGATATTTTAAGGGTGGAATGCTGCCCCGGGTTGCCAGCCCGGTTCCCGGAAGAGGGCCTCCCCTGCCTGCTTTGGATGTGGATCCAAATATCTACGACCCGCGGCATGAGCTTATCATGCGGATCAACGCGATTTTTGCGATGGTCCTTGGTCAAGGGAATGTGGCGGTAATTTGCATATTTGCATTCAAAAATTCTTATTCTAGAAACGATACCTCGTGCACAGCGTTATTTGGAAAATCAAGCTAACAGCCACGCCGGAGAAATTATCGCAGGTCTTTTTTCGGACCCCAATATGCATCAGGTTGTTGACTTAAAGGGCTAGTTCAACTTTTAAGGCTTGGGCTGGTACCTTGGGAAACTATGGACGTAGGCACAGTGCGCCCGAACAGTCCCCCATTACGACAGCTATTAGAGATCGGGGAAATGGGAGAGGCGCAGACACAAAAACGCAGAGAGGGTTCGACTCCTGGCCGCGGAAATTCTTTTGTTTTATTGACTGAACTAGCCCTTTAAGTATAGGGTTAGCTTATGCTTAGTTTAGGGTTCGCTTAAGCTTAGCTTAGACTGCTAAAAACCCTAAATTCAGGTAAAACTCCCATCGCTGCCCGACGATGCGTACTTCTTACAGATCCTGCCAATCCATCAAATCAAGGTGACACGATCAGGACAATTCTTTTCTAATGGTTCTTCCAGAAGATTTGTATCTACCCAAATTCGGGGTTTCGCATCCGCTACAAAAGATATCCGTATCCGACCCAACTGGCCTTCGGAAAGGTATGGGCATTGTAAAACCCGTAACGCGAAAATTTCAGGGCCCCCAGAATGGATGGCTAAAAGGATTTCACCGAGCTCTGATCTCCAGCAATCCGAACCAAGTTCGGGTCGGTTTAGAAAAAAAGCCATAAAAATTTAGGGTTTAGAAAGATTTCGGAATTTTTTAGGAGTTTTTCGTCACGGGAAGTTCCTTGAAAATTTGTTTGGATGGATATGAGGAGCCACCTCGCGACGCATAAACGTAAGCTCAATTTTGGTTTAAGGCAATAGAAAAATTCCGAATTTTTGTCTTTCGTCGGCTGGGTTTCGATGGCGGAAAAACCGCAAAATGTTTCCAAAGGGAAAAATAGATTTTATTGGACTCTAATTGAACAGTGCAGCAAAAAATGAAATTCACGTAATCCGTAATAGCTTTGAATCTGGCTTTGAATGCCTCATGAGGGAAGCGGTTTCGCCCCCTTTAGTCCTTCTAATTAAAATATTTTTATTTACTTTAACTAATATTTAGAATTTGGCATTTCACTTTTTTTAGAAATCATGCGGCGCCTTCCCCCCTTGACCGGTCTACCATCAGGTGCTCTCCATCCTTAATTTGCTCCATGACAATAAATATACTGCCTTCATTTCGTGAGAGGCATACAGAAAGCGGCAGAGAACAGACACCGGAATCAAGCTGAATGTAGAAGCCAGAGCGTCAGATAGTAATTGGATTCCAGGCTTCGAGTGCGAATTCTACCAACTATGCGTCTCGTCTTCCCTATCTGAACTGACCGGGCTCTTTCTCATGCTGCCCCGCCTCCTCGTTGTTCCAAACCTTGCCCCTACTTTCTCTGCGACTCTTCCTCTTCCCCCTACTCTCCTCTAGTCCGCGCCGTCGGCAATACACCCTGTGGGAGTAGTTGTAGAGTAGAGATTTTTTCGCGAATCTAGATTTTCTCGAGCCGATCTGGGACACCGTTAGTTAGTTATTTTGTCATTTTAGAAATTTGGAAGTGCTCAGCCAGCCAAGAAAATTTTAAAGCGGATTTCGTCAAAAAAACTTGGGGAAATTCTCATGTATCCTATTGATACCATCATTAGCATTCCCTGGATAAATCGAGAATTTTGGGATGGGATTATGGAATTCGGGTTCATGGGACTCGGGCTTATGAGGAATCGGGGTTTTGGGCTTCGGAATTCTGGTATTCCGGATTTTGGCAGTAAGAAAATACCTTTTCTATGCTGCTCAAAATAGATACCCCACCTCAGATCCACTTCTCGACCGGCTCTTCGACCTCCGATCGTCGTGCCTCCACTGACTGGCTCCAATATCCACATTCCGCTCTTGCTGATCGACTCTCACTCGAGTCCCAATGGTCCCGATTGCGGTATTTTCTTGATTGTTGTGAGGGGCGAAGCGGAATCTGGGCTCTTCCTGTCCGCTTCTTTCCAGGTTTGGTTGGCTACGGAAGCCGGCGACATGACTGGCTACCGTAGGCCATCCACCATGGGCGGTATACCTCAAAAAGGAGCTCTGACATCCTTAAGAAAGTTACTTGTTATGAGTGTAGACGTACACCGGGTTCGGGTCGGCCCGGAAGTGGTCGGACGTGATTTGGACGATTCTGTAAAAATTTAAGTCGTCAAAATTTTAGACGTAGCTACGATCCGCAACAACGTACGCAATCGTAAATTGTTGTAGTCTGTAGTTATAATTCAAAAATTTCGCTGAAATGCTCAAAAATCGTTTACGCACTTATTCTGGTGTCCTCGCAGCTGCTCTTGCCACACATTTTTCCTCATCCAGCTCCGGTCGGCCCAGTAGGGCTTTGATCGGTCGGCTCCCTAGAAATTTTGAGTTAAACTTAATACAAAACTGCCAAAAAATGTCGCAAAAGCTTCGTAACGCCGAAAACATGAAAACATACGGTCCTGGGCGCAATATAAGGGTCACGAATGTTTTTCCAGCTCTGATGACGGCTCAGCGATTTTTCGTACCTAAATGGACCATTAAAGAGGCATACAAGTTCCCGAAGTCTTCTTTTCTAAAGAGTTTGCTGGTTTTTTCCTAATTTTCGATAGGTGTTGTAATAAAAATTACCAATAAGGTATCGTCTTGTACTGCTTGATCTTCAGGGCGGACCCGTCGAGCAGCGTCGGGATGCTGACAACTTTTCCGGATTCCCCAACATTTCGCATGGCGGTCTCATCGATAAAAGACCCATTCATCGACCTCGGCTCGGATTTTGAACGCTTTGAGGGGGTCGAGCTCTAAAAAATGTTTATGGCCATAATCCTACCCGTAATTTTTTTGAAAAGAGGATTTGCTAGCTCGCCTTTGTTCTCCTAGCTTCTACAGATCCCTCGCCGTGGTATTCCTGGGCGTTTGATGGATCATAGAGGTAGCTGTTGGAAGGGAGCCGGGGCTGCATCTCCAGGTAGCCATCGTAATGTTTTTGGTGCTCGTACTAAACCAAATACTTGGATATCCGCATAAAAAAAATATTGTTTTTAAGCCTGCTACGTTACAGATTTTAATTAAGTTAAATATACAGAACGCCGCATGCCCTGACACCAATCATCAACTTTTCCTTTATGCGGAGTGCGTTAATTGTGTGAAAATTGTATTTCAAAAAGTTTTTCGTAATTTTTCGAACCTTAAAAACATAAAAAAACATGAAAAAATATAGTTTTAATGATAAAAATGTACCTCATGCTCAAACTCCGGTTGCGTCACCTCCAGCTCGGCTGTGAAGACCGGGGCGCCGAATTTCTGGTATTTTTCGGAGGGCTAGAAGAGCCATGCATCACATTTCAATAAATTAACAGACGATAGCATGAGCTGCATGATATCCGGTTCTCCTGCTCTCTCCAGAAATCTCGAGCTGCAGTGGCCGAGCGTGTGGGTACCTCTCCTGGCCCGAGCTTGTGAAGTGCTGCTCAAATTCGATGTTTGTCACATATATAAAGTTTCTATGCCTGGTTCGAAGATGTATTTTTCGTCTTCAAATGTCGTGGCTTCAAAATGACGCTCGAATTCTGGAGATCGGTTGGGCGACGGGGAGCCGGAGCTGTGATTTCGGGGTAATTGTAGTGCTAAACGTAGCGCTGGATATCTTAAAAACGATATATGGCTAACCTGGTACTCCCGATGGTAAAAATTTGAGCCCAGCGATTGATTGTGCTCATTTTCCTAAAATTACTTAAAACAAAATTTTTATAACGTACGATTTCATGTGCAAATCTGTCATCCGTCCACTCGTTGAACTGGTTTTTCACGGTGCTAGGCATCTTGGTCATGTTGTGGGGGATGAAGTCCTGAAAAAACAGCCATAGGATGACAAAAATCGAACTATCTCGCAATTGCTCTGGCTCTCTCTCTCTCTCTCTCTCTTTCTCTCGCTCTCTGTCTGTTTCTCTCTCGCTCTCTTTCTCTCCCTGACTCCATTCCTGTCTCTCTCGCTTTCCTTCGCTAGCTCTCAATCGCATCCGCTCTCTCTCTGGCCTTTCGCTCTTTCTCTCTCCCTCGCTCTCTCTCTCTCTCTCTCTCTCTCTCTCTCTCTGTCTCTCTCTCTCTTTTTCCCTCTCTGACCTACCACATCCCTTCTAAAGTTCTCAAAGTCGGTCTCGGTGTGGACGTTTGGGGAACTTTTGGAATAGTGCTGTCCTGGAGCGGCAAAAACGGTACGTCCGGCTTGGAAAGCCTCGAAGGAGGGGTTTCTAAAAATTCTAAATAGGCCTAAAACCTCTAGAAGCTATATCATCAGCTATTCCAATAAACCTATGATCGAAATCTGATCCGAAAACCTCGTACACCACTTAAAACAGCCAAATTGGGTGCCCTACTCCAAATAGCTGTAAAATGGCATCATTTTTTAAAGCTAAAAACTGCCTCCTTAGGCACGTGAAACGATTATCCAAGCTTTCTTCAAATCCGTTTTTTAAGAAGCCAAGAACGAATCTTTGACAACTCGAAAACCACAGGCACATGCCATTCCAAACCCTCACTATTCCATTTTCCATTGCATTCCTCTGTACACTAACAAATTTCCGCATTCCCACCGCAAAAACGCGCACAAAATGCTTGTGTGAATGATGATGCCGCTTGCCTCGTGTTATTCCGCCCCATTCCAATCAACGGTCACGCGTAACGTAAGGGACACAACTTCAGCAAAATATATTTTATTATTACTGTTTATTAGCCGGGCAATGGAGAGACAGATATACCGAAAAGTCGGGCAAAAACGACAAATAGGTGAAGGCAGTTGGGTGTGGTTGGCAAGCTTCGTTCTCTGGCTTAGGCTTAGGCTTAAGGGCGGGCATAGGCTTCGGTTCGGCTTGGCATGGGCTTAGGCTTGCGCTTTGCTTAGGCTTAGTCTTCGCGTAGGCTTCGCCTCGGCTTAGGCTTAGGCTTAGGTTCGTGCTTTGCTTAAGTATGATAAAACTCTGAAAATCAGCAAAAACTCGAATCGGCAAGCTTCTAGTTGGGATTTTGGACTCGTAAATAAACTATGCAAATCTCCTGGCTACTACTGTGTACTAACATTTCTACTATTTTAATGATGAAAAATTTCTACGAAATTATGGTTAAATTTTACTGGGTCGTCGTGGTGGTGTCGGTGACCGTCTTCTTCTTGTAGTACTTGGTGGTGATGTGCCTGGAAAATGGAGCTGTTTTTTGTAGTGATTCGTCGAAAATAAGATTATCATTGTTCCTATTTAATGGTATCTTCAATAAATTACGTTTCCATTTAAACGGGAAGTTACATCCAAGGGCTCAAGTCTAGGAAACCCCCCCCCCCCAGCCGACTTTTCAACTTTTCTACCTTCCTTATTTTTATTTTTCGCTACTTTTTTCGACTGGACTGCAATGTAGTCTTACTAATTAGCCTACGGCGAACATTTTGGTATACTTTAGAGCTCGCTAGCACAAAGGGGGGCCGAGATACAAAAGTTGGTGCCGGCTGGGGGGGGGGGGGGGTTTTCGAGACTCTTACCCATCCAAGCTATATGCTTTTCGAAACAGCTAACCTTTCGAAAGCGTATCAGGAAGTTGATCGGTTTCACCAGTTACACTAGTTGTTGTTTCGTTTCACGACTTATTTTTACCACGAGTGCAACACAATCTAATATTAAGTACTTTTCATAACTCAGTTTTAAACTAAACATTGCGAAAAAGCACCTGAAAAAGGATGGATAACCCAAAAAAATGCAATAAATCAAAAAAAGTGCCCGAGAAAACTCTATTAAGGAATTTGAAGTAGGGTTGTTATATGACTTGAGTCGCCACCGATTTGCGTCGGCGAAAATGCAAATGACTTGAGTCGGCAACGACGCGCATCGGAGAAATTATGAGTCGGAAGGGACGGATTGAAATGTGAACGATTCAATTCGCAAACGACGCTAGTCGCGAAACGACTTGAGTCGGAATGGAAATCAGTCGGATAGAACGACTTGAAATCGCGACGACGCAAGTCGCCGACGACTCAAGTCGTTTGCGTTTTCAAGTCGTCGGAAGTGGATTTATGCAAATATATGTTCATGGAAATAATTTTGATCGATCAACTATATTCTATTCTGTACAGAGAGACAACGACGCACCACTCTTTGCGCTTACGACAGGAAAAGAGATCAGGCCCCACGGGGCTCCCGGCCACATCCTCGTCCCACAAATAGATGTCCCAAAACTGTTTATTTAGGCAATAAAGGACGTAAAAGAAGATCCGGAAATAAATTATTCGTAGGCGATGGTCAGGTATGACAGAGCTAAGTAATTTCGGCCGTCTGATTCCAGCTTTGGCAACCGAAAAGACGTTGATTTGCATAAGAACCTAGAAACGAAAATAAGGGTTAAAAATTCATACAATCTTCATTAGCCGCTTCCCCAGGATGGTCGGCAAGTGCCGGACGGGGAAAAAAGGTTCGTTTGCACTTGATTTGCCAATCGTTTTCCAGTGGCAAAAGGCGGGATGCCACCAGGAAAGCCACAAGTCAAAGAAGCGGGTTCATCGGGCAAGACGACTGGTAGCAGCACAGAGCAAAGCCAACAACCGGACGAGCTACGCGCGATTCGGGCTTTATGTGAAGATGAAGACCTGTTTTTGACGCAGGAGGAGGCGCTATTAATCTTCTCCCTTCCCGCCAGTTCCGTTGAGTGTGAGCGCCTGTTTTCGCGTGCGGGCATGATCTACTCCAACCGATTGCGTACTCTGCTGAAGGGTGAACGAGCCGAGCAATTGCTCATATTGTCTTATCGTCGGGTTCGGCAGGAAATCGCAAATCTACGGTAAAAAAGAAGGGAACCAGGAAAGCATTAACTTATCTTTAGCACCCTTCAATCATCGCTTGAATTCCCTGCCCTTGATGAGATTGAGGCAGAGGATATGGCGATTGAAAGCATCAGATCTGAGGTTGTTGCTCCTTGCAAATCTCAGAGCGTCCTTTCACCCCATCAAGCACATTTTCAGGATCCCGATCTTTTTGCGGAAGTCCTCGCTACGTTGGATGATGACGACCCCTACCTGACCATCGCCTACGAATAATTTATTTCCGGATCTTCTTTTACGTCCTTTATTGCCTAAATAAACAGTTTTGGGACATCTATTTGTGGGACGAGGATGTGGCCGGGAGCCCCGTGGGGCCTGATCTCTTTTCCTGTCGTAAGCGCAAAGAGTGGTGCGTCGTTGTCTCTCTGTACAGAATAGAATATAGTTGATCGATCAAAATTATTTCCATGAACATATATTTGCATAAATCCACTTCCGACGACTTGAAAACGCAAACGACTTGAGTCGTCGGCGACTTGCGTCGTCGCGATTTCAAGTCGTTCCATCCGACTAATTTCCATTCCGACTCAAGTCGTTTGGCGACTCACCTCGGGTGGCGATTTGAATCGCGCCGATTTTAAATCGCAACCCATGGTTTTAAAAGCATACGATTCAGTTCGTCAGTCGACTCCAGTCGTTTGCGAATTGAATCGACAACATTTCAATCCGTCCCTTCCGATTCATAATTTTTCCGACGCAAGTCGGTGCCGACTCAAGTCATATAACAACCCTAATTTGAAGCAATCATATTACCATTAATGCGCCAGTTAAATATTTATAAAGATGTGTAGCCAAGAATCTTTAGAAAATTATGTCTTCCTAGCTCCTTTAAAACACTAAATCCCCGAAACCCTCAATACAAAGCTTAGATGACAAAAAATGTACAGGGGCTAATGAATGAGCCAGAATCAGGTATCTGGGCCATTGGTAAGAACCTGGCGTCTATTTCCCTTCTCTGGTAACCGATGACCACATTGGGATGGCCCTCGGACAACAATGGAAGGCACGGCGGGGGGTCGAGCTCGCGACCCTTGGAGTGTGGGGCGCGCCTCAGAACCAATATACCACCGAGTCAGTGCCGGACGGGCGCTCCCAGGGCCCCAAGAGGGAAAGAGGGTGTACCTGTTTTCGGCGACCTTGTGCTATTTTTCGGTTATCTACATGATATAAATTAGGACTAACTTTCTGTTGTAACTTTGGGAAAAAGCTAAATAATGTATGAAAAAAGTCGCGTTTAAAGGACTTCGGCGCTTTATAACTATTTCTACAGAATTGCGCCGCTCGTTTTTGAAAATTTGAAAAGTAATTGATTTACCTCGACAATACGCCCGGCTCAAGCTCGTTCTCTACGACGCGGCGCTCCTCCTCCTTAAAATCGAATTAAGTGTTTAACGATTTGCTTTGGCTGCAAAAAAATAAAGATTACTTACCTTCAACAAGGCCATTTCTCGGCCTGGATCAGCGGTGGTCTGCAGATCGCGCTTGTAGGAGATTTGATGGCCTTGCTGGTCGCGGTAGGCTCCCTGAAATATGGATATTTTCAGGGCATCTCTCTCTGTGTCTCTCTCTCTCGCGCTTTCTCTCTAACTCTCTCACTCGCTCTCTCCCTCTCACTCTCGTTCCCTCTCTCTCTGCCGCCCTCTCTAACTCTCTCTCGCTCTCTCTCACTCTCGTTTTCTCTCTCCCGCTCTCTCTATATCTCTCTCTTTTCTCACCTGTGTATTAGCCTGTGTATTTGCCACTGTTCCAAGCGGCAACGTCTCCGACATTTCCAACTTTCGGTCCACCGGCGGGCCAGAGACCTTAAAATTCTCATGTTCTAAAGTGAGCTCTAGAGTACCGTAGTGACGGTCGTCACTGGTGCCAGCGGAGTCGTTCTATAAGGGAACATCATCATTAAACAAATAACGAATTTTTCTTACTGCCGATGCTCATGGCGGGTCTCCGTCTTCTTGTTGTACTGCTGTTGGGCCTGGTATTGCTGGACAACCGGCTGGGCTGGACGAGTCTCTTCACGGGTAGTTTTCTACAAAAATGTATGCATGAAGATATGTAATGGGTATCCATGGCTGCAACATATAAATGGATTATCAGCTAAGAAAATTGATGTTTATTGATTTTTAAACTTTTTTGTGCATTTCTACTTTGCGCTGTTTTTGTTTTACCGAGTCAATGAGACAGTTAGGTCTAATAAATGGTTTTGTCCTGATTGATGGTCACTTAAGACTGGTTTTTAAATTATAAAACGCTCCTACCTCCTCGCGACGCTGTTGTTGCTGCCATTGCTGTTGGTAGGCTTGTGGAGGTTGTGGAGAGGGCTGATGCGTTTCGGTCGTTTTCTAAAAAGTTTTTTTTTGCATTTTGTTTCTTTTGTCATTGTATAGTAAATTAAAGTTTAAACCCCTTGATTTTATCCAAACACAAACTTTTATTCCGCCTACCTCCTCACGCCTCGACTGCTGCTGCTGCCATTGCTGCTGGTAGGCAACTGGTTGAGGTGATGGCTGATGAGTTTCGGTGGTTTTCTAAAATGCGCTTATATTTAA